GTTACTGGCCTGAACTTCAGAGATGAATTATTATGTTTAAAATTATAACCCCAATTATTTTGCTAAATATTGTGATTAAATTTATTAATCTTAATCATTTGATTCAGGAAACAATAAAAATAAACAATAAAAAATGTTTTTATTGCACTTTATGCATCTTAGACCATGTTCATCTGTTTTCTTTGGTTGTAAATCAGTTGCGACAGCTAGAAAAGCTCATTTTCAATTTTACTGTGGTCCTTATTCAAAGTATTTAGTTGTACAAAAAAACAATGATAAACTTGTGTGAAATCGAAGAACAGGAGGTCCTCAGGTTACGACGGTCACAAGCAATGACAGTTTCGTGGTTACAACGCACTCCCATAAATTACTTAAAAAGCCTAGTTTCGACCTACGTGGTTTGGTTCGTAAATACGACCAAAGAAATAAAGATAAGAAATTGTTCTCTCTTTTTTTTTTTATCAATGTTTCATTAAATTACTATATTTTATATGTCCTTCATGTGTTGTGTGTACAGTGTGGGTGACTTAATGTGTTAATTTAGGTATAATTTTGGTATAAATTCCGACTTACGCGAAAATCCACGAAGTCGTAGGAACGGAACTCGTTCATAAGTCAAGGACCCCTGTAATTCAAATTTCTGTGTTCACTTTTTGCCATTTTTCCAGCTGGAAAGCCTTTGATACTTCAGTGTAGTCTGTATAAATACCCACATTTTGAAGTATGATTAAACTCTCACTGTCAATGTCATATATCTAGCATAAATTCATTCTGTGGCACTGTACCACTGAATTACCCGATTCTGCTTTACTTGGCTGTGATAGAGGAGTAAGAAGAGAGGGATGGGACCAATGTGGACGCTGGAAGGAAGGCTGGAGAGAGGAGAAGTTTGATTGAGAGAAGGAGCTGTTTAAGATTTCTCTGTATGAAGCCATAATCACTCCTAGCACAGCACTACTACCCATAAGCACTACTCACCCCAGTGTCTGTAGTTTACAGTTTGGGCTCTCCAGTCCAGCACAGAGCAGCACCACTCCTGAATCTCCCAGGTTATTGTAGCTGAGGTCCAGCTCTCTCACGGGTGAGTTTGATGACTGGAGAGCTGAGGCCACAATTTCACAGGACTCCTCTGTAAGACCACAGCTGCTGAGTCTGAAAGAAAGAGGTGATGTGTTAATATTTAACACTTAATATTTTAAATGTAGTATTGATAGTGCTCACTGATAAAGAGTGATAATGAGGATTGTAAGATCTACAATGCTCTGAGGAAGATGTCTGTGCTACACTCTCCAACTGCAGCACTTTACACCTGAGAATAAGATGTCCTGCTCAAGTCTGACAGTTCTACAGCTGTGGTTCTGACCAAAATAGCCCCTTTTCCTCTATTCAGTTCTGTAAAATTTGGGGCTAATGGCCCAGCTACCTTTTCCACAGTCTTTTTCAGGCTAACTCTGGGCTTTAAGCCTCACTCATGGCCCTACTCATGTCCCTGAGCTAAGTGTGGACAGCAGGGCTAAGGATGGAGTTATCAGATCCTTTTATACTGTATTTCATGATTAAAGCAAATTCCAGCCTTTAGAGTGAATAGTAAGTTGGACTGACAACTTGTGAGAAGTTTGTATTTCCTTCCCATGAGAGCAAAAAAGCAGAAATGATCACACAGCTAAAGGTTCACAGGAGTAGTCAAAGGAAGGCAAGGGGGTTTTTAGTTCACATCTGATCAGCAGTGCAGTGTCTCTGTTCTTATGGTGATCATTTCTCAATGACCTGTGACCAAACATTTTGATAGTTATTGGTTTTATGAATTTTACCAAAAAACCCCAGCGAAGGAACACTAATGTCAAAACAGTGCACATCACTGAGCCATCAGCAGGAAACTAAAATCATTTTTTGATGTTAAACACAATGAAAGTGCCCGGATAAGAAACTAAAATGTTTACTCTCTGATACTCTCTGATACTTACCTGCCATTCTCTGAAAAAGTTAAAGACAAAATAACAGAACCAAAAAGCTATCAATATTCTAGGCTACTACAGTCTGCTTTCCCTGTTTTCAGGCATCAGTCAGTTTCAGAGCTTGTTTATAATCAGGTCTGCATTTCAGAACATTCACAGGTGCTTCTGATCAAGTGACTGGCCTGAACTTCAAAACTAAATGATTATGATTAAAATTCTAATCCCATTATTCTGCTAAATTGTTTGATTTAAATGTATAATCACAATTATCAGTCTGATTCAGGAAACAAAATTATTTTATTGTATTTTATGCATCTTAAAACATGCTCATATTTTTTCTTTGGTTCTTGTAAATCAGTGCATTATTCATTTCTCAAAGTTGCAACAGCTAGAAAAGCTCATTTTCAATTTTATTGTGGTCCTTATTTTAGTATTTAGTTGTGTTACTAGTTGTATGAATGATAATGATAAACTGGTGTGAAACCAAAGTATTTCCAAATTCTGTGTTCACTTTGTCACTTCCAACTGGCCCTGACGTCTCCTGCTCCTGTACTGGCATCACAGTCCAGCATTTACCAGGTTCTGGGTCAATGTGCTCAGCATCCAAAGGTATCACAGTCTCCTTATCCTCAAACTCTCATAATATGCTGGATGGAAAGTGCTCAGTAATTCTTTGGAATTGGGTGATTTTTCCCAGTACCTGGAAAGCCTTTGATACTTCAGTATAGTCTGTATAAATACCCACATTTTGAAGTATGATTAAACTCTCACTGTCAATGTCATATATCTTGCATGAATTCATTCTGTGGCACTGTACCACTGAATTACCCGATTCACAAATATACAACCTTATGCCAATGATATAACCCTATATCATTTGAAATATAATTTTTCACAAGGTCTGAATCATCAAACTTTTGTGATTCGGGTTAGAAGCAAGTAAATATTTTGGCTGTGCATCATTTCCCCATCTTTTGTTGTGTTTACTTGTCTTTTGTGTAATTGAAAATAATATAATATGTAATAATAAAACCTCTACAACAATAATACTCAGTTTTACAAAAAAACCAACACAGCTGTAGCATTAACCAGTTGCATTAAACCAGAAATGAAATAACACACAAAGCTGGATCCATTGGGGCCCTTATTCAGAACAGTTCTGCTGTATCTAAATGCTTTGGCTCCTCTCTGAGCTCTGCTGCAGTTACTAAATGAGTCCACTAGAGAGCGCTGTCATCCATCCACAGAGAACAGGCTGCGACACATTCACGCCAAAACTATTGCGATGATATAATAATGAAGCGCTGCGTTGCAGAGGTACCGCTAGCTTATGACTGTGCGCGGTTTATGTCGCTCAGCTTCACAAGCCACTGATGGCATCCAAATTAAAGTTTCATCTGTCAAAGTCACCAATTTTGTATAAACGGAACAGAATATTCAACATATACCTTGTGGGTAAACGAGCTAGTACCTCGCCAATAGAATAAGTTTGCTTGGTAGCTGGTACATAGCCTCCCTCTCCATCTCTGGCAGAAAAGCTTCTCTGTCAAGTCTCTTGTTGTGGCAGGAGAAGCAAGCTCCACTGCTTGTTTGAGCCAAATTGCCAATCAACTTGGCTGTTGGCGATGTCAGGTTTTAGTAAAAACCTTGCTTTGAGTTCACATAGTTTTTGTACAGGTCTCGCTTTCTAATCTTGTAGTCGCCATAATTTAGCCTTCTGACACATATCCTACGTTG